TGGTGGGAGGGCCTCCCTCCCCTTCCACTGGAGTGTCCACTACGAGCTTGTCAAGGAAGTTTCTGGAGAGGTGGAGAGGCAGGAGACAGGGAGCCCAGTGCCCTGGGGGCTGTGGGGTGGGCCTGCTGAGGAGGAGGGAGGGGGCTGTGTGCAGCTGTGATGGTGGGGCTGGTCCTCAGTGGAAGGCCTCTTGGGTGGTCCTTGGGCTAGAGGTGCTCTTCTACCAAGCCAGCTCCCCAACCTTTCTTCCTTTCCTCCCTTTTCTCCAGATCCTCCTGACTCTCACAGCCCACTAACCTTGGGCACATTACTGGGCCCCTCTGAGCCTGGTTTCCTACCTAGAACCCAAAGGTTATAATAGCACTTACTCCCCAGCACCACAGGACTGCATGAGGTGAGGCCGGTAAAGCCACTAGCAGTGTGGGGGTACATAAAACGTCAGCACCACAGTCACACCTCTCCTCTCCCTGCTCCGCGCAGGAGCACGAGGCTTCAGGGTCCCACACCCTCCACGGTGAGCCGGTGGCAAGTGTGAGTGATGGTCTCCGGGCTGATTTAAAGATCCTTGCAGTGCCTGACCGAGGGTGGGCACCCCTGCCTACAGGAAGGGCATCTGTACAAAGCCTGGATGCACACGGGTCCCGGTGGGGGTAAGGGCTCAAGGGTGCCACAGAGCATCCCCTCAGCCCTCCATTGACTCCTTTGTTTCAGAGAACTGAGAGCAGCTGTGCTGGGAGTCGTGTGCATCTTGCCTCTGAAAGTAGAAGGTCAGGGCCAGTTGGAACCACGCTGAGGTTTGCCCCACCAATGCCAAAGAGAGGGAGGGGGTCTCCCTCCTTGGACCAGGCACTTGTTCATTTGCAGTTTTTAGATACCCGGTCTGTGCAGGTCAGTGCAGAGTCCTGGGAACACAGAATAAGTAAAGCGAGCTCTACCCTGTCGGTCTAAGGGGGTGAGGGGGCTGCGGAAGCCTGCGGAGGCCACCAGGGGTGTGGCCTTTTCCAGGACACAGGCCAGTGAGGCGACTGGCAAGAGGGGCCAGTGCACTGCCTGCCGCCACACTTACTGACTTGCTTTTGTCTTTGTTCTGAGGGTGCACATAAACCATGAAAGGTGCCGCTTTTATGGGTCCTTCCTTCTGACACCAGATTCTGGGGCCCGAGCGGGGGCCCACAGTAGTGGAAGGAGAAAGCAGGAGAGTTAGTGGGAGTCAGGGTGGGGAGGAGGCGCCCACCAGCTGGTGAAGGGTGTCCCAGGAAATGGATACTGGGAGAGAGGAGGGGTGGGGGAGGCCAGGCAGGGCATCCCCTAAGAATCCCTGGAGAGGAACCTTGCTTCAAAGCAGAGGCAGAGGTCTAAATCTCTTGATCCTGATTCCAGACCAGCCCCATCCTCCTCCCAGTCTGGGGAAGAAACTGGAACAATGAACGAGGCCGGAGCTCAGGCCTCTCCAGCTCTTCCAAACCCTGGGTTCTGGCCCTGCTCCCCCACCCACTCCAGAGGCCAAACAAGATTCGGTGATTTATAAAGATCATTCTGAGAGCTGTTGGGCCATAAAATAACAATGGCTGTCATTACAACTTACAAGGCACCCCCTTCCCACTGGGGGTACAGTATCCCCATTTTAAAGGGCAACTGAACGCCCTGGGGAATAAGTAACTTGCCTTAGAAACTCATCCAGCTAGGAATAGGGGGGTCAGGCACAACCTCCAAAAGCATGTCACCATCACAGTGATCCATGGGGGCTGAAAATGGTCCCCATGCGGTGGGAATGGGGACACTGAAACCTCCAGCGAGCCTGGTGGGGAGGGCAAAAGAGGGGGAGCCCCAGGTGCCATGCAAACCCCCCCTCTGTGCCATGCGCCCCCACCCCTGAGGGGAGAGAGGGTGACTGCTTGGTCAAAGGCTGCCTCTCCCATGGCAACTCTTCCTCTGCAGAGCCAGGAGTGGCTGGCGTTGAGCTCGGCTGGGTAGAACTTTGTGGAGCACCTCCCCCAGCAGGATGAGCCGAAGACCACCAGGGAGGTGTTAATGAAACAGGGAAGCTGCGAAGAGACCCAGGAGTGATTCCAATCTGACACCTCCACCCCAGCCCCTCCAGTAATGAGCTGGGACCTGCCCTTCTCCCCAGAGAGGGGGTGAGGGGAGAAGAGGAGTCCTCGGGCATCTCTGTAGCCTCTGAGGCCTCCTCTCGTCATTAGCGTTCTCCTTTGTATTATGTCCACAGCAACACAAGGTCACATTTATTGAGCACCTATTGCGCCCCAGACACTAAGTCCCTTCCAAACACCGGATCCTTAATCTTTACCACAGCCTGTAGGAGAGCTACTCTCCTTATTTCCATTTTACAGATGACGAGACTGAGGTTCAATCTGGCCAAGTGGCCCTAGAGAGAGCCAATGTCTGGCCCGGGCCCAGCTTGGAAGTCTGTTAGCGCTTTTGCTACTGTGCCTCTAACTTGGACCCATCGAGAAGTCCGCAGGTGTGATTGGGGGTGGGGAAGTTTTTACCTGGAGGCAGGTGGGGGAGCCCAACCCTGGGAGCACTGGGGGTCGCTCACACCTCCATGCAGAGGCAGGTACATGAGGCCTCGGGTAGAGCTGTGTGAGGAATAAAGGCAACTCACACACTGTGTGTTCTAGAAGTTCCAGAACTGGAAAGCAAGCAAGCAGGACTCTTGCTCTTTCCCCAACCCAGGGCCTCCCATGTGCTCTCTGGGTGTCCTTCCACACGAGTGTGTGAGAAAGTGGGGTGCGGCTCTAGAGAACCCAGCCCTGACCACTGCTGGAGAGTGGGACAGGAAAGGGCTTAGCTGGGGAGGTGTGAAGAAAAGGGGGTGACAAGAGGGGATGTTTGTTAGGAAGACACACCCCTTTTGGCCCCAGGAAGGAGGGGCTGAGCAGCGCTGCAAATGGAGCCCCGTGTTTGTAAACATCATTAATCAGGGATTAGCAGATGGGCATGCTAATTGCACCTGTGGAAGTCAGAGACCTCAAGGTTGATTACATTTACAAACTGTGGGGCTCCCTGGGCCTGGCTCTGCAGGAGTAAGGAGGTGGGGGTCTAATTTAGGACCCCAGCCTGGGGGAGGGAGCTGGCAATTTAGCCAACTGCCAAGAAAGAATATATTGCAGCCCTGGAGGGGACAGACAGGGGCGCTGGCCACAAATCAGCTGCTCTGAGAACACCAAGTCAGAGCCAAAATTTCGGAGACACTGGCCTGGGGGCAGGGAGACCTGACAAAGGAGGATCCTATAAATGTCAATTCAGAGGCCCCCTCTTAACGCCCTCCAGCTGCCCTCAGGGGTAAATCATTGTATTTTGCAGCTAAAAGGGGCCCTAGGGCTAAGGGGCAATGGGCAGCTGGCCCCTTGCCATGGTGGCCAGAGCAGGAGCCAGGAACAGCTGCCATCCTCCTCCAGGCACCGGCTTAGGGCTTGCCACTAGAATCTCACCTAATCTCCCCCAACATTCTCCCAAGGGGACACTATTGGCACTCCCATTTTATAGACCAGGAAAACTGAGGCCTGGGAAAGCGAAGTGGATGTCCTAGGACAGCAGAGCTGGAGCTCAGCCCACCAGGCAGGGCCGTGCTCACGACTGCCACTCTCCTCCCCGGCCTTCAGCCTGACCTGCCTGCAGAGGTGAACCACCGCTCGGCCCCCATGCGCGCCGCCAGACCACCTGGCTCCTGTGTATTTCATCCCACTTGCTGAGCAGCGTCTGTGTGGCAGGCGCTGCACTAGGCACCGGAGGCCGCTGGAGGTGAAATCCTACCTCATCCCTCGGTGGCCTGACGGCCTCAAGGGCTTCCCCTTTGTTTGGGGAGGGTCTGCTTTGCTGGCACAACTGCACACCCATAACCAGTGAGCGGGGCGGCTCACCACAGCCTGGGTTCCTGTGCTTCAAGTGAACCTGTCTTCCAAGAGCCCAGCCAGCCTGCTGCCCAGGAGGTAAAGCAGAGAGCCCCACTGTGCTTGGTGGTGAGCCCCAGAAAATGGCTCCTCTAGATGGCCCAGGAGCTGAAGAACTGTGTGGCCAAAGCAGGTAAAGTAGGGTTCCAGGGGCCACAGAGCAGTCTGTAGGCCTCGGGAAAGGTGGCTCTGAGGACCCTCAACCTTCTAGGTTTAGGGCTGGTTTTAACCCCAGAGAGGGAGTTTGAGTCTATACCCCCACAGGGGAACACCAGGGACACTTGAGTTCTGGGCTTATTTTCATCAATCCTATTAGTCTGATTTCTTCAGAGAAAAAGATTCAAAGGCCCCAGCATTGTGATTTGAAGCAGTTGCTTGGACAGGAGCCCTGGCCTGATGACTCCCAAACCTGGCAGCACTGTGCATCAAATGGGGAGCCCGCAGGAATGCTGGCACCTGGCTCCTTCCCCAGAGAGTCTGATCTAACTGGCTCAGTGCCCCTGGGCTTCTGCAGTATGAAAACTTATCCCCCTTGTTGACCCCATGACTCTAAGCACAGCCAAGGTCAAAACCACACTAGGCTCTGGGCCAAGAGCACAGCCAGTGGGGGTGGGGGGACAGGCGGCTCACCTGGGACTGACTCAGCCACGGGGCTGACGCGGCATTCACTCCTTTCTTAAGAGGGCGGACTGACTTCAAGGCAACCTCAGGCCTCCCTGGTGATGCAGCGGTTAGTCTCAGTGCTATCAAGCTAGTGTCAGCCACTGCAGCATGAGTTTGATCCAGGGCCAGGGAGGTGACCCACATTGCGCGGCAGACCTCTCCTGACCTGCCCACTGCTCCCCTCAGCAGTGCGTTTCAGTAGATTTGCCTGTTCTGCTCCCTGCACTCTCTGGGGATTTCTCACCACCACCTCTCACCTCTGGCCTGTACCCCAGTTCTTTTATGTGTAAATAAATAAAAATAAATCTTAAAAATATTAATAAAGCAATCTTAGCAAACACCGTATGATTTCACTCACATGGTATATAGAGAAACCAAACAGATGAACCAAATAAAACAAAAATAAGCTTTACACAATAAAAACACAAAGACCAACAAACAAAACCAAATAAGTAATCTCATGCCCTTTTGAAGCAAATTTAAATGTCTTCTTAAATTGGTATCGTTCAAATTCCAAGATCAACCCATTCAACAGAAAAGGGAGGCATTTTACTGAGTACCTACTATACGTGAGGAACTGGGTGCTAATCACCTCGATATCCTGTCAGCTACTCAGGATAGTCGCTCTGCCTCCTTGACAGGGGCCCTGAGACTCAAGACATTAAGGAACTTGCCCAGGACACACAGCAGCCAGGCTGTGCATTTAGGGTGTCTGTCCTCCCGACCCACGCTCTCCAAAGCAGTTTTCAACTAGGTGATTCTGTGCCCCAGGGGACATTTGGCAATGTCTGGAGATATTTTTGGTTGCCACACAGGGACAAGAGGGCTACTTCTGGCATCCTGTGGATAGAAGCCAGGCATGGCACTGAACACCCTAAAATGCACGGCACAGCCCTCACAGCAAAGAATGACCTGGCCCAAAATGTCAACAAGGCTGAGGCTGAGAAACCCCCTCCAGAGGTTCTCAGCCTGGGCTGCACTTTAGGCCCTTCAGGGAAGGAGAGTGGAGGGTTTCAAAATTCCTGACACCGTGTGGTGCCCTTACCGATTATGCCAGACACTCTGGGAGTCGGTTCCCAGAGTTTGTTTTTTAAATCCTGCCATGTGGTACCAGAGAGAGTCAAACTTCTCTCAACTACTTATACTGGAGGCTTCTGATGCATCTGTGGGACACTGGGGAGGGCCAAATCTGTCTGGGTTGCGTAACAAACAGCAGCTCTGTCCCCACCACCTCATTGAATCAAAGGCCAGGGCTCTGGTTCCACATTTTGCCCTAGGAGGTGATTGATTGTGTCACCAGTGGGAGGCACTGGAGGGCTGTGGGGGGTGTCCTTCCTCTTACCCTTCCCTCTTGAGGGGCTGCAGCTGTGAATGAGGCTGCACCACATCTGGACCAAAGAGCAAGGCTGCCATCTACTGGAAGACTCGGACAGAAGGCCAGGAGGGCTGACTGCCGCTGAACTCTAGGTGGTTTTACTTGATCCTAGCCACTGCCTGTGAGGGAGAGGCAGACACCTATGGGCCCTGAGACATGCAAAGATGAAGCTTTGTACTGAAGACCTTGCAGCAGGGCAGGGCTGGAGCATGGATTTGCACCTGCCTGGCCCACTCAAGGGCCAGCAGCCCCCTCTACGTCTCACGTCGATTCAAGAGGACAGGACCCTTGGATCGGGCTGCCCGATTACCTTACAACATTTAGACTTCCCTTGACTTTCTGGGGGAAAGAGGCCCTATATCCTAGCACATCCTGGAAATTAAGGCGCTAGCATCTCTAACAGCTTCTCCAAAATTAAAACAGTAGATTGAACTTCCCCTGGTCTCTACCCCAGGCAGTGGCTAAGAAACAGGGACCTGGGTTCACACTCAAGCAAGAGACTGGCGCGTTCAGCGTGTGGATGTGTGCCCTCTGGCACATGACCTGGCACAGTCCAGGTCAGCCCCCATCTTGCCTCTCTTTTTCTGAACTGGAAGACAGTCCAGGGTCCCTGGGCCTTTCACATGTCCTTGAGGGCTCTTGGGATTCTTGGAGAAGTTGTCCTCTCTTCCCTTCTGCAGGAAAACCCTTTCTCTGGCTGCAAATAGAGTGAAGAAGAATTCCTGCAGAGACAGACAGAAGGACAAGGGGAAGACAGAGGACTGAGTGAGGAAGGACTGGGTGTGGAGCCCTTGACACACCCAGGCTCTCCCTCACTCCATCCTCAAAAGGATTCATTTTCCTCGTCCCATACATAAAGCAGCTAAGACACTGAAAGATTGGGAAACGTGTTTAGGATGAACATTACCAAGGGAGTAAAGGGGAGGGTAGACTTGCCTGCAGCCACAGAAACATTCAAGGACTCGAATCCAGGGGGCAGCTGCCGTCCAGGCAGGATGGTAAGGAGAAGCTGGCAGGAGGCCTGCACCTCTGGGGACAGACCCGAGCCCTCGTTCCCTGCAGGGCACAGGAGTAGAGGGTTAGGGATGTCGCAGCTGGACGTGCAGGTGCTTGGGAAATGCACATCTATGCACAGAAAAATAAGGATGTCCACTCACCCAGCACCAGGAGAGTAGGCCGGTCCCACAGGAACTCCAAGCAACTTGTGATGGGGATCTTAGAGGGGTGGTAAACCCCAGTGTCCAGGGAGCCCACCGTGCCAGCTACAAGCCAGCCTTGCTGGGCTTTGGCCTGAAAAGGGGAAAAAGAAATCATGTTCTGGCTTTCTAGCTCACTGAACCTTCCTCAGAGCCCTGGCCAAGGAGTAGCCTGGCCTTGTTCACATATTCATTTGCTGGCTGACCCATTCAATTCAGCCAGTAGCCAGGAGATGCCAGGAATGGGCAGGCTCTGTTCTAGGCACTGGAGACAGGGCAGTGAACATAAAACAGGGCACAATTCCAGCGTCTTCGAAGGATGTTCAGAGAAGGTCTCGCTGAAGTGACTTTGGGTGTAGAAATGCAGATGAATGAGCACTGTGTAGACACACAGAGGAAGAGTATTCTAGGCTGAACCAGTAAATGCAAAGGGCAAAAGGCCGGTGCTTACCTGGCATGTGTGAGGAACAGCAGAACAGCAAGGTGGCCAGTGGGAAGGGAGGCATTGGGACAGGAGAGGGAACAAAGGACCACTTAAGGTCGGGTCTCAAAAGCCACTGGCAGGATGTTGGCTTTTGCTGAGATGCAAAAACTGAAAGATTTTGATCAGAGAAATAACATGGGCTTATGTTTCAACAGAACCACTCTACATGCTGTGTTGGTTGAGAGCTGCTAACAAGCAAGACCAAGTAGGTTTCTGCCACAGCACAGGCAGGAAACTGATGGGGGCTTGAGCCAGAGTAGTAGCAGCAGAGATTACGAGATATGGAATTAATTTCAAGGCAAAACACAAAGGACAGAGGGTGTGAGGGAAGGAAGAATCAAAAATGAATGACACCAAGGTTTTGAGTCTAAACGTGAAGGGATAGAGTGGCTATGTACTGAATTGGGTTAAGTTTGCAGAAGGAACAGGTGCTTGACACTGGAAATGTTTGCCTATTTGTAGCAAAAAATAACCATAAAGTAGTCAACTGGGTATGTGAATAAGAGGTTCAGGAGCAAGATCCAGGCTAGGATATATATTTGGGAGGGAATCAAAAACAGATAGTAAAGTCATAAGATTTGATGATACCACAAGAAGTGGATATCTGTGTGTGTGTATGTATGTATATTTTCTATAAGTAGAAATATATATTAATAAAAAGATGTAACAAGAGAGTTGGAGGATGGTCCAGGGGATGGTCTCCAAAGACAATGCAATACTGCCCCCTTGTGTCCAGCAAAGGAAGCACAACTGAAGAAAAACAAGGACCCGGAAAAGTTTATCAGGTTTACCCTTTCCTAAGATATCACAATTTATCACAATGTTGTTTGTTGGGGGGGGGGAGGGGGTGACCGAGAATGGAGGAGAGGCACAGATTACTCCTTGTTCAAGTTGTGCTCATAATACATGAACCCAAGACTGCTGTTCACAGCTCACAGTCAACACTGAAGACCTATTTTAATAGTCAAGGAGACATACGGGGGCAAATAGGTAAGCCTGGGGAAGGGGTGCAGTCAAGGGGATAAGTCCCTAACTTCAGATTCTGCTTCACTTAAGGCTTCAAAGCTTCAAAGTCCCTTCCAAAAGGGATTTGGAAGAAGCAGGTATGCCAATAGCCCCTTCTCCCGTTGCCCCCAGATAATGGCTAGCTGAGTGCCCTTGGAAAAGCAGCACTTGTCTCATCTTTGCTTCTTTATCCCCATCCTCCCTCCCCATTACCTGTAATAAACCGGCCAGGTTGTCGGTGGAGAACACGTCCATCACCTCCATAGCCCCCGCACTGGCCTTGCTGACTACAGGAGTGAGCGGGCAGCTGCAAAGTTTCCCGTGCCGGGAGTCAGGTTGGGTAATCTCAAGCCCCGTGCCCTGCCCTCCCCAGCTCCCAAGAAGAGGGGGTGAAAATTCTAGGATGGGGGGGAAATGGCTGAAGGACCCTCCCCTCCCACCCCCGATGGTCAAGGTGCTTAGGAACTGGGTGTGCCTCCAAATTAAGGTACTTGGGGAGAAAGAGACGTCCGTGCCTGTTTCTCTGGCTAGTGATGACCTTATCCACTCCGAGGTAGTGAGCAGAGCGCAGCACAGCCCCAAGATTCCGGGGATCCTGAAGCCCCTCGAGGATGAGCCACAGTTGCTGGGGGTCGTCACTTGGCTTCGCCACAGCGACCTCAGTGCAGGGGCGGGGCCGCAGCCGGCTCACTTCCATACAGACGCCTTGGTGGACCTGGTAGCGGCACAGGGCGTCCAGCTTCTGTCTTCTGGGCCGCAGCACTGGGATGTCCCGGGCCTCGGCGGCCCGAAGCAGCTGCGCTCGCTGCCCCTGCAGTCCGGACTTGCCGGCCTGGAGCAGGAGCCGCGCCACGCGGCGGCGGCCGGCCTGCAGAGCCAGGAGGCACGGGGACAGGCCGTACAGCAGCTCCAGTCCGCCAGCCGGCCGCGGGGTGGGCGCCAGGTCATCCTGTCGCAAGCGACTCAGCTCCTCTCCGCCCGGCCTCACCCCATAACATGCCGCTCGAGAGAAACGACATGCGACCAGGCGACCGGAGCTGCGCCACGTCTCACCCCCCAGGACCACGAGCAGTGCCATGCTCAGTGCCGCCTGCTGCGTCCCCAGGAGCGGTCACCGCGCCAGGGTCCGTTTCTGGGCCCCCGGCATGGGTGTGGGGCTCCCTACCGCTCCCCCACCCCGACCCCTCAGAAGAACAGCTAGTCAGCCCAGAACCCCGCAGCCGAATAACCGCGGCGCGACCCCAGCGCCCCAACGTGAGCGGCCCGACTTCCGCGTCCTGCTGGCTCCGCCCCCGCCCTGGGGACGCACCGCGCACGCCCGGCCACTAGGACGGCCCCATGGCGCCCCCTGCAGGGCTGCGCTCCCCACTTTGCCGCTGGCAGCTGAGCTGCTGCCTTTACTGCAACTGTGTCCGTCTGCATTCTGAGCCTCAGTGGTCCCAGGAGGCTGGAGGTTGGTATTCATTCAGGCACCATCCAATGGCACTTTAGGGGCTCTCCTGTTCAACAAGTTAAGTCCTGGCGTCTCTCCTCTTATCCAATCCACCACCAGGTGCTGATTTTCCACAAAATCTTCTAAATTGGCCTCCTTCTGCACCTCTAGACACCTCAGCGGGATCCTAGCAATAACTTCCTGTCCAATGGTCTCTGAAGCTCTGCTGACAGCTCTGGGCCGTGCGCACTGGCTGACAAACCAACCGGTGCCCTTGGCCAGACCTGTCCTGCTAATGGCTAGACTTCTCAGCACTCAGACCCATGGTCCAGGTAGGAGCCACCTTTTCAGCCCCACCTCACTGCTGCACTAATTCTTATGTTGCTGCTGTACTACATGCTCCTTCATGCCTCTCAGCCATGCACCCTGATCTTCTTTTTCTGGCTGGCAAACTCCTTCCCGTTTGCAAGGCCCAAGCACAGGCCTGCCGCCTAAGGTGATCTAGGGGCGATGCCTATCCACCCACCTGTAAATGTCCTGACAAAGCACTCCTGGAAACAGAAGGGGGAAAAATGAAAGGCACTCACAAAGCCATGGCAGGTTGTTAACAATTTTTCTTTTTTAATTATCATAGTGAAATCCACTTGGGAGACAGGCCCTAGTATTCTGCTGCTATAGCCGGAGTGGAGTGATCACCCCACTAGGAGACAGAGAAGTCAAAAGCGGGGTAGATAACTGGAAGGGGGAGAGAGGGACAGCGAGGGAAGCAGGCAGGGGAAGAAGGCAGCCCAGAGCCCCGAATAACCATTCAGGTCAGTGAGGGCATCTCTCTGCCATCTAGCCCGAGGGGCTGGGGTAAGGTGCAAGAGGATAGGAGAAAGCCCTCCCCCACACCCCCCCCTTTGGACCACTGTCTTTTCCCCAGGTTAAAGGAAGAGACAAAGAAGGACAAAGGCCAAGGAGCCCAAGAAGGGGATCAATACAAGTTAACAGGTAAAACAACCAGGGACACCACCCCCTTTCCCCAGCCAATTTTTCACATTTGTAGTGGAAACAATGACAAAATATAAAAACTTCAAACAAAATTTCTAGTTCCTAGTAGGTGCAGTAAGAATTAGACTCCAGGGTTCCAGCAATCAACACCCAAAATCAGCGGCAGGAGCCAAATCATGGTGGTAAGGGGAAGAGGAGCTCCACACAGGAAACTAGGTCACCTGCTCGGTGGGTCTCATCTGGATGTCTCCAATCTGTGGAAGGCACAAGGCTTGAGGCAAGACGCTCTCCCCACCCCCTCGGCGCCACCTTGCTCTCCTCCTCTAGGGTTGGTTGGATTCCTCCAGTGGGTAGACGGTCAAGCCAGACTCACCTGGACATGTGGGGGGGCGCTGAGTACGTAGAGGACAGCCTCAGCCACATCTTCAGGCTTGAGACACTAAGGAGCACCAGAGGAAAGGTCTGAGATGAGAACAGAATGGACCCAAGTTCCCTCCCACCACCAAGGTCCTGGATCTTTCCAGCTCCTACTCTCCCACTCCCACCCTCCAGGAGGGAGACAGGCTGGTTAGAAGTGGGGGGGGGCTGTGAAGGCCAGAGTACCCCCTGCCTTCACTTAGGGAGAGAGGAGCTCTGGGCTCAGCGGGAGGGCCCACCTTTATGTGTTCATAGGTGGCAGCTGCCTTCTCAGGATCCTTGTCATGGAGTTTGAAGGCAAATTGTGTCTCCACCAATCCTGGAGAGATGCACTGGGCCAACAGAGAGGGGCTGGTCAGGGGCTGGGCTTTGCCCTATCCCTGCCCCTGTCAAAGGCCAGGCCTTGAGAAAACTGGAGGGCGAGGATGGAGCCACCTAAGTCCAGCTTCACAGTGATGGCTGCCTGATGTCTAGCAGCTGCCTCTGCTCCAAAACTGCCACTGGCTGGACCACAAGGGTACCTACCACCAACAGAGCTGAGAGGCCATTTTACAAAATGGCACCTTCAAAACCACATAACCTGACAGGCATTATCATTTACAAATGAAAAGACTGCGGCCTGGAGAGTTTGAATGAGTTACCCAAAGTCTCAAGGCCCAAAACCCCAAATTCCTGCCACTGTGCACCTGATTTCCCACAATTGCTTGCTGTCCCTGAGTCTTGCCAGTTCACATTCCCTTTAGGTCAGCCATTTCCCACCTTGGAGTCTGTGAAATGAGCAAAGTCAAGAGCTGACAGAGCCATGCAAGTAACAGCAGAGTCAGATCTATACCCAATCCACTCCCAGGAGCTCTAAGCAGCATTCACTGGACACCGGCATCCTGGACAGTAGTGCACGGGGTGGGGAGGCCCCGTGCCTACCCACCAGGGTCAGGCCACAGCCTCACCGTGGCTCGGATGTGGGTCTGGGCCTCCCGAAGTTCTTGCCTCAGTCCCTCAGTCAATGCGGTGACGGCGTATTTGGTAGCACTATAGAAATGGACCACGGACTGGGGTACCACTCGGTGGCCAGACATGCTGGGTGGAGGGAGGGAAGGGGAAAGAAGAAAAAGTGAAGCTTGTAAGAGAATAACAGTGCTCTCTGCTTACCTGTCAACCACCTAGATGTTAGCAGGGAAATCTTGTAAAGGGCCCCTCTAGAGACCTTGCTCGAGGCCCGATAATCCAACTTGTTTTTCAAGCAGCTCCTGAAAGCCCTACTCTTCCTAGAAGTCCTCCCTATACTGACCATATAATCTGCTCTCCTGGTCACATAGGCTGTCCCAACTTCTCAATCTCATCTGTGTGTCAACTGGGAATCTACTCCCGATAGGGTTCCCAATCTACTTCCCAAAGGGGAAGCCATGCCTCTCCTCAGGTGGGGGACTCCCCAATGATATTATGTAGGCTTTCTTTGTACCATGAGGTGTTCACTCTCAGGCCTGAGGAACAAATAACTAGTCCCAGGAGAGCCCTCAAGATTCAGCTGCAAAGAGATGGACTGACGGATCCATTCCAGCCAACTGGGAGCTGGTACTTCTTTGCTCCACCATGATCATTCACTTGGGTGTTTACTGGGTATTAAATCCCAACTTCACTTCCAAGGAGACTGAGGGCAAAGAGATTCAGATGAGCCATAGCAGGTCACCAGCCCTTCCTGGTGGCCTCACCTGTTGATGTTAATGATGTGCCCGTCATCCACCTTCCGCTCCTTCATGGACTGGTAGGCTTCCCGTGCGCAGATGCTGAGGGCCAGCACGTTCACCTGCAGGCCAGAATGGCAATGGGCTATCGCCAGCTTGGGCCCATCTGAGCAGCTGATGGAAACCCAGAACATCCCCAGGGTGGAGGTACTGGCATTCCAAAACAGTGTCCAGGTCCTCCTAGAGACTGAATATGAGCCCCAGGACCCTTGCCTTCAATGCCCCTCATCTGGAGGCCCTGTCTCGGCTGGCAGCAGAGGCAGCTCCTCTCTGGAGTGACCCACCAACCAAGATCCTGCAAATTGGAATGGAACTCACCCCTCCACACACTCCTCCCCACCCCCACCCCAGCAACCAAACCTACCCAGGACCCAGAAGATTCCCAGGCTTGGCTCCCCACTGCAAATGGAACCTCTGCCTTAGAGAAGCATCTCCTTTTCTTCCCCCAAATACTCCATTCTTCTCTAGGACAGAGTCCCTGGCCTACTTTCTCCCGAACACCTTAAAATCCTTCCTAAAATGGTTCTCATAATCTCTCTGTTCAGGGCCCTCCCTGGTGGTGCAGTGAGTTAAAGCACAGCACTTTGAACCTAGCCGCAACTGCTTCAGCACCCAGGGAGGTGACCCACATGGCGCAGCAGACCTCTCCTGTCTCACCCACTGCTCCCCTCAGCAGTGTACTTTGTCAGTCTGCCTGTTCTGCTCCCACTGTGTCTGATGAATCCTCTCACTGCCCCTGCACCTCTGGCCCGTATCCCAGTTCTATATGCATAAATAAATCTTTAAAAAAACAAAATCTCCCTGTTTAAGCATAGAACTTAAGACTCTCTCAACCTTACTCAGCTCCTCCTGCTCCCTCCGGGTCCCCTCCCTTGAGATGACAAGTGGAAAAAGACCTTGCCCACCTTTCTTTCAAGCCTTCCTTTAATCTCTGTTCTACCTACAAGGACATGGCAGTGGGGAACTTCCTTGGCCCCTGCATACTCCTACACACTCTAGCAGAGGTGACCCCAAATCCCCACCCTTCATGAAATGCAGTAAAGTATCTCTTCTCAAATGTTCCTGCCCAGCCCCACCCCTTAGCCTTACCCAGAAGAACAGGCAGAGATAAAGCTTTCAGCAGGTCCTCGTGCCTTCTCTGGTGGCTCCTCTCGGGAAGAGAGGGCTCCAGCTGAGAGATTAAATGTTTTTCTTTATCAGGTGTGAGAGCCAGGCATTGGGACAGAACAGCCTCCGTGTGAACCTGCCTCAGTGTTCACAGCAGAAGGACCTGGAGGCGTTCAGCCCTGTTTCTGGTCCTCTGAGCAATGTGGGTTTGTGGGGCAGAGAACGTAGCTCCCAACGATAGACATAGTAGGAGAAACAGATCCTTCTGCAGCCAGGGGAATGAATCTTCTAGGTCTGGGAGCCAGGGCTGTGGTAGAGAAGGTGCCTAATAGGAAGATCCTAATAGAATGACCTAATGTTTAAGCTGTAGGGAGCCTTAAGAAATCCCTCATTTTACAGATGGGCAAGGTAAGGTCCAGATTTAGAGCCCCACTTGCTACAGGTGAAGACAATAACTGAGATCTCCCAGAAAGCTCTCTGAAGGCAGGGACAATGCTTCAATTTCATTTTTTCTTGTTTTATTTCCAGGCCCAAGCACCTACTGTCAGCAATATGAAAAGGATTGTGGGTGAACACATCCCATTAGGCTTCCACTTGTCAGATTACTCTCATACCTTAATATTGTCCTACAGTATGATCTAGAGTTTGAAAACCCATGTCCTGAAGGCTGTGTTTGACCCATACATATTTAAAAATGCATCTGGATACGGGCCCTCCCTGGTGGCTTAAAGCACAGCACCAAGAAGCTAAAGGCACTTCTGCATGAGTTCGATCCCCACCTGCCTGCCCCAGAGACAACCCACATGGTGTGGCAGACCTCTCCTGACCCGCCCGCTGCTCCCCTCAGCATTGTACTTCGTTGATCTGCCTGTTCTGCACCCTAGACTGTCTCTGGTATCTCCTCTCACTGCCCCTGCACCTCTGGCCTATACCAGTTCTGTATGTACAAATAAATAAATCTTTAAAAAAAACAATGCATCTGACATGTATTGGAAGATTTGATGCTCAACACCTACTTATTTTGAGTATTTATGGGCTGAGGGGAGCAGTGTACTTTGCCCTATTGGAACTGAGGATTGAATGAGAGGGGTGTGGTGTCACATAAAAATTGGGTCTCCTACTTCTCCAAGCAGTCATAAGTTCTTTTTTCATTATATTAGTTTATTCAGTCATAGGTTCTAACCACACCGCCTCACTGGCACATAGCAAGAAGGCTGGGTTCGGCAGTGGCCCGCCCAGGTGGCTGTGTGCTCTCTCCATTTACTGCAGGCCCCACCCGACCCTAGGCACTCGCTTGCATATCTATTGGACCCCAACTAAATGTGAAATACTGAGGCTCAGAGAGGATAACCAGTTGTTGGCAACACTGGGTGAGAACTTCCTCTCCTATCGCTCTTCTTCCCATAATACCATATCCCCAAGCACTCTGCCTGGCCCTGGCACCTGGGAGACATCCAATAAACAGCAGTTCTCCCCCCACCCTTTCTTCCAACAGGAGAAAACCAGTCTAGGGTATAAGAACTGCCCCCAGGGGCTCAAAGAAAAGTATGGAAAAGATACAGCCATTTCCACTTGCTGTCCCTTCCAGTGCCCCAGGTAGGCACCCTGAGCTCCCCGTTGTCTCCAGCAGCCCTCTGGTTCACAAGCCCTGGTCACGGGCTCTCCACCCAGTCCCCCACAGCCACCCACAGCCCTTACATTGAACATGTCCTTCCAGCCGCTGGTGCTGCCTGAGAGCAGGGTGTCAGGACGGGCCAAGCCGGCATTGTTGATGCAAATGTCCACACCGTTGTGCTGAGAGCGGACAGCCGAGAACATGGAGAGAATGTCCTCTTCATTTGACAGGTCACATCTGTAGGGGATCAAAGTCCCGGGGTAGCCTGCACTCTTACATTCAGCAGCCAGCTCCTATGAAACCCAACAGGGATCTAACTGGGGTGAGCTGCTCACTCCCACACCTCCCCACCCAGAGACAACCTCCTTCCGCAGGCATCACACACACACTCCCTTTTTGGCGGCCACCTTTGTACCACAAAGATATCGGGACTGCCCATCCCCAAAGCTCGGCTTCTTGGGTCAAAGTCCAGGGAATGGGAGCGCTCCCTGAGTGAGGGAGGGGGAAAATGGAATCATCCAAGGAGGAGCCTGACAGACTAACTCAAGCCTTCACTTCTACAAAGGGAAAAGGGCTGGGGCGCTGAGGGAGCTGGCGATCCTGAGCCATCTGGCTGAGTTTCAATGGAAACACCTTCTCCACTCAGAGAAGCCACACCTCTTAGCCTCCCCTATTCTTCCATCAGTGCCAAGCGTCAAGGAGTTGGTTATGCTTGGGCCTCGATGCTGCTATCGGCTTATCCAATCCCTCCCAGAAGGGCTAACGTCTGAATTCTCACCCTCTCTCCACAGAGTGCAGTCAGTTGGCCTGGAGTTCCCAAGCACAACTTTACAAGTCCAAATGCTAATCTCTCCCCTCCCTCCTTATAGGGAAGATCAGGAAGTCAGGACAGATTCTTTCCCTCTGTTCCATGGTGCACCCCTTCCCCAAAAGTTTCTCTGGGGACTGTCAGGTAAGTCAGGTGACATGTAACATCAGACAGCCCCTGTGCATCTCTAGGACCCCCAACTCTGAGGGGCCCTGAAGAAGGAACTGAGGAAGCAGAACTACTGCAAAGAATGAGGCAGCTGACAGTCAAAGCAGGAAGAAAACAAGCTGTGTGGGCTGCAGTCCAGTGACTGGGCTGAGGTGGTGAAGGTGACTGTGTGCATATGTGGAAGGGGGAGGGCTGGGGAGGGGAGGTGCCCCAGAGAAAGGCAAGCTTGGCCAGCTGCCCTGGCCTGGAGTCCCTCCCTGCCCCAAAACCAAGCTGGAAATAAAGGGCTGGGCCAGATGACCTAGGAAATCCTTTTCTACTTTAACTTTCTGTTAGTTCAAAGGCAGAGTCCTCTGGGACCCAGAAGCCCCCCTTTACTCAATGTCACCTCTCAAGGCCTTAGGAAACAGGAGTTATAGACTCAAACTTTTAATATCAATCAATTAATAAAAGCAGACTATGAGCAAGGAAACCTGGAATTCTCCCCCCAACAGGCATCTTCTCCCTTCCTCCTCTAGGTTCACAGCAGCCTAGAAAAGCCAGAATGGAGGAGGGACTGATGTATTTCTGTCACTTCTTTCTCACTGCCCCACCCAGTGTCTCTCCCCATTACATGGAGTTATCTTAGGGCTGAGGGATCAGCCTGGGGCTCTCCTTGAGACTCAGAGACCCCCTTTCCTGGGTTAAGGGTAGCGAGGATAGGAAGAGGAAGCAACAGCAGCTTTCAAATTAAGGAATTCACTGGTCAAATTCCTGTCCTAATTCTTAAGGCTCTGAGACTGGGATTTTGAGCACCTCAGAGTAGGAAAAAAGGAGGGGCAGTGTGGAGCAGTAGTGTGGCCAGATGACCTTGGGACTGTCTAGGAAGTTATAAAGTATACCTTTGGTAAGCAGCAGGGCAGGGGACAGTCCTTCCCACCCACCTGTGCCTCCGATCCCACACAAAGCCTCCCTAGCCCAGGGACTGGGAGCAATAGTGACAGTAAAGCCCAAAGCACTAGCCCAAACCCTCAGAGTGATCAGAAGCAAAGAAGACCTAGGACGGAAATCTCTCTCCCCTTCCTCCCTGCTCGGACCTGGCCAACTTCATTTCATATTTCTCTGAGCTCCGATTGCTCACAACGCTGGGGGCTCCCAAACCGATGTTAAGAGAAAAGCCTGGAGTTCCGGTTCCATCCTGATTTGTCCCTTCAGGGCGCATACGTTCAATGCCCTATTTCACCCATCTGTCTACCCCATTCCTCCCTTGAGCCCACCAGTCGGGGTCAGCTCAGATATGGGAGAGGGGCCCAGCCTCTGCAAAGCTCCACTCCACCCCAATCCCACCCTCAAGTCTCGGGCAGAACGTGACCGTGGTCAAAACCTGTAGCTCCAGCTCCTTTGGCTGGCCGGATACTGCCCGGCTTTGTGGGTTCCCTCCGAACACCAGAGGAAGCTTGGCCACTGAGGCCAGAAAGTTTCTTTCCTTCTCCCCGGCTGCCTGCTGAGCGAGGCCCCGAGCTCCGGCTTCCCCCCTCCTAAGCCCAGGATCTCCGCCAGGAAGGTAGGGAGGAAGAAAGCCGCCGGGGAGTCCGGAGACCTGCTGCGAAGGGGGAGTGGGCTGTCAGGAGGAAGGGCTCCGCTAAAGACGGGACTCGGAGAAGCCAAGCAGAGGCCCCTCGAGCCCTTCACCTCTCCGTCCCTTGGGCCCGCAGTGGCGGGCATGTGCGGGCCGCGCCGCACAGCCCAACTCCGGCCATCCCCTCCCCCACTCGGAGCCCTACCCCGGTGGAAACGCCTCCCGGAGCTTCGCCGCTCCGGGTCCGGACCTTACCTCGATGTTGCCTACGGTGCGGGCACAACCCACCACCTTCAGCCCCTGCTGGACTAGGGCCCGGGCCACCGCCGCGCCGATGCCCCCCGAGGCCCCCGTCACCAGAGCCAGCCGGTCGCGCCACCGCTCCATGCCGGCCCTGGCCATGATCCTCAGCCTCCCGCCCACCTCGCTCTGCGAGCAGGGGCCCGGGATCGCGGAGCTCCGCCCCGGCTGGCTAGAGGTCGGCCGCTCTCTCAGCACCGCGGAGGCGCCCGCCGCCGACTTGCCCCCGACCGGGACGCGCCTGGGCCCGCCTCCATTTGGGCCGGCCTCCGACCGCGACTCCACCCTCCGCTCCTCAGCGATCGGCCGCATCCCGCCAGGGCACAGCCGCCGCCAGAGGGCCCGCCCCTGCGCGGCCACGACCCCGCCCCTTCCGGCCCGGCGGGCGCGCCCGGGGCGGGCCCAGGAGCTTGCGGTCCCGCTGCTCGGAAGAGCGCTTCCGCTTGGGACGGGGGAACCCGAGTTTGACCTGAGCTAGTTCCCCTCGGGATGCAAACTCGCCTTTTGCTCGGCCTCCCTCTCTTGTTTCTGATCCCTAACAGCCTGGAAGAGAAATGAAGGGCACCTAAAGTGACTCCAACGCCTTCCCATACCAACTGGTGCTGATGGGTGGGATTTAGCGCCGAAAAGGCCATCTAAGCTGCCAACGCTGAATCTGGGGGACTCAATACCTGATTCCCCAATGTCTGAACCAATGAGCGTTATATGGTTAAAAATATATAACCAATGAGCGTTATATGGCGCACTTCCAAGTACACCGGCATGGGTGGGGGGGGAGTGTCGTTCTAAAGGTCAACTGCTCTAGACTCTCCCTCTCCCAGTGGACACACTTAGCTCGATGTATACGAAAAGATTAGAGCAATTTAGAGTGCTGTCTGTGAAGAAACTGTTCGGCACTTTAAATAATGCCCTATTAGACTGTACCTATTTGTGAGGAGTGCGAGAAGACAAAAATGGTGAAAAAATGGTTCAGTCTTAGGCCAGGGAACGTTCTCCTAAACTGCCTTCACTCTTCCCCTTGTCTTTTCTTGGGCTGTTGGTTTTGTCCTGAGTAGAATTCAACCGGTTCTCTCACATCTAAGGTCATTCCATCAAAGTGTTGAAAACTGCCTCATTGCTGCATTCTTAGTAGGGCCATCCTTCCAAAGAAAAATCATCTGTCTCTGAATTACTGTAATTTCTCCACTGCAAGCAACCGAATAAAGTAGTGAAGGTGGCTGGCTTATTAATTCACCAAGCACTCAAATGTTTGATTCCAAGGGCAAAGATTACATCAAAGCAGAACCCTTTGCCCTTGCTTCTAGGGGTCCTAAGATAAAATTCGACTGTAACAGAAAGTGTGATGAGCCAAAAAAGACTGTGGGAGCCCTTACATTCCAGGAGGAAAACACAAGGGCTAGAGGGGAATCATGACTCATTTTACTCCTGGCTCCAATCTCAGTACAGCACTTAGATTTGAAGACAACTGGGGTGGATGAAAGGCATGCCAAACTACAAAAATCTTAAGTTCCTGCTGCTGCCTACTTAAAATCTGATTGGCCATGTGATTAATTGGCACAAAGTCCATAAAATTCAATTCTATTCCCCTTTACAAAGAAGAACTGATCATCTCACTACTTGTCTGCTCCCTACCAAGTATTACCAAGTTGCAGACACAAAGCACACGTCTACTGAACTATTGACTCAAAACCTTTTAAGTAACAGCCAAATACTACTCCAGAGGGAATTGTTCTCCAGTACTCAGACAGCTTGTGAAGCAGTAAACTGTAATGCCATACTGAGTAACTTTACTGCTGGAAACCAGATAAGGAACATGCACTTACACAGACCGCAAAGTGGTTTAGCTCTCAGTGCAGCCTTCTGATGCTGGGTCTACATGCTGAGTAATTACTTAACAGTCACCCCTTGGTTGAAATTTTGCCAAGTTTTATTTTGATTCTTCATTCAGAGGTCAGTATGAACCTCTGAAATTAATGTGTTTGGTGTTATGTACCAGGAAACTTTTAACAATAAAGAGCAGTTAAAAGTGGGCGGGGGGGGGCAGGGGTAAGACAGCCAGTATTTTCAAGATATTGTGTTACATTCATCCTTTCAAAACAGAAGTCTGGAAATTGCTGCTCTTAGTTGTCAACACTGACAAAGGAAAGAAATTTGCCTTCAACATATCTATCGTTACTTGCTCTTCATCTTCTCTAACATCAACATTGGCCAAGTACTAAGTCCACAAGTGGCAAATATTAAAATATTGCCACCCAGTAAGTTGAAACATGTACACCAAATTTTACTATGCATATTAATAAATATTCTTTATTTTAAATTTTGCACATTGCGCTTTAACATTACATCCAAACATTTTGCAAGTGGATGTCTACTTTGTAAAACCATATATTCAGCTCATTGTCATTTCTGTACAGAAGTATAAGTACAACAATACTTTTTGCCACTAAGATGCTTTAGTAAAGTCTCACAGGAAGAGAAACATTTAATGAAAAGAGATGGCTTAAATCAAATGGCAGGCCTGTGCAGCACGCACTAAAGACACAAGCCTGAAGAAAGAACTAATGAGGTTACCTCCACCGTCTCCCAAAACAAGAAAGAATCACATTGATTTAAGATAAAATTTTGCCATAAGTCACTAAATTAAGAGTTTTTTTTGAAAGAGAAGGCGCAGTAGTCATCTTGAGTGTTTCATTGAAAGACAGAGCTATTTTATTTATTTAATTTGCTCCAGCAGTTGTCAACCAGCCACTACAAATGGGCCTCTTGTGATCATTTAAGCGGCAGTATTTATTAAATTTCTCCTTCAGATGCTGTCGGTATTGTTCTCTATTGCTGTAGAAAGACTGGTTATTAGCCATAAATGACTGTATTTCATCTTGTGAAATAAAGATTTCCTCATCTGAAGTACATTCGGACTCATCCTGCAAATTAAAACAGTAGTTAAAGACTATGATTTAACAATGCAAAATGCTATGATGAGGGAGAATAGCTAAAAATTAAAGCATCTGCCTTTTTAGTTTCAACTTACTCACATAAAAGGCCTTGAATTGGAATGCTGACAGAATAAGCATTATGTCATTCTGTCTTATAAGTACAAATAAGAATAAAACTAAATCCAACTTGGCTTTTAAACTCTGCTTCTATAATTTGCCCTGCAAGTCAATCAACCTAACAGACAACCAACATACCTTTATTTTAAAAAAATAACTAGTCAGATGATTACAACTAGTTCTCAAACTTTAAATAAACAATTTATTTCTAATCAGCTCTATGTTGAAAATTTAATCTCTACAAATTAATGTAAAATATAACATAAAACTTAGAAAGTTATAAACATAAAACTTATAAAGTTATAAAGTATCATCAGTAAACTTTACAACTACATAAAAAAAAAGGGAAAAAAATAGTATTCAAAAGGATTTGGTTCCAGCAGGATACTAATTACCCCCAGGGGAAAAAAAAAAAAAGCACCCATCTTTTCCCTTTCCTCCAAGCCTCACACAAACTACGGACTGGACTGCTTAAAATCACATATAACTCATCTAAAGTATCAAATTGGAGTCAATTCTAAAAGGATTCCCAAATCCCAGTAAGATTAATCCTACTTGACATCTAGAAGAAACAACCTAGAAAATGGACCCTCACTCAGATTCCATATTCTTCCCTAGTCTGGAAGGGTTACCACTAAGAAAGGCAGTTTGCTTATAATAACATTTTTCAAGGGGCAGAATCTTGAACATAAATGCCAACTATTCTCTCCCAACTAGTGTCTTCTTACTCCTTTGAGACACGGGGGACAAGGAATTGTGATACAGAAAAAAACAGCATAAACCAAGAGCTTTTATAAAAGCAGGAATGAAATCATCAAAGAATGAAATTCTTCCCATAATTTCTTAAAAGCCTTCCCTACTGCTCATTTTAAATGTACATATATGGTCTCTTCCCACATCTACCCAAGTAAGCAAAAGAATTATCTACAACAAAATGTCATGGCTTACTTACAAGGAGTTCAACTAAGCTCTTGGCACCTTTTCCAGAATCAGGACCAAATGACGTTTCTGTGGGTTCTGCAAACTGTGGTACATTTTTCCTATGCTCAAACCAAGGCAGTGGTTGCCCACCCTTTTCAGAGCTGCAACAGCTTTCAGGATGTGCATCTTTGGTCTTGTCACGGTGAAACACTGTGTGCACGGTGTTTCCTGAGGTCTCTCGATTACCTGGATCTGTAATACAGCTTCCAAGCTTTTGGATCTGAAACCACAGTAAAGGATTTCCCAGATAAATAGGCAAGGAACTTAACAGCAAATATGCTTTAAAGAAAATAAAGAGCCTGGGCAGAGTGTTAACTTTTTAGAAGGAATACTGACTAACGGCAATAGTTGGCATTCATAATTACATATAATACTGGATTGCTATATTAACCCATCAAAATATAATCCCACTTCATCTTCACAGAACCTAATCTGATAGGGATTTACCTCTATTTTACAGATGGGAAAACTAGGAAAAAGCAAACATCAAGATTACATAATTGATACATTTTAAAGGTTACTATGAAAGCATGAATTGGATTTGACACACATGCCTGTCACACAAACAGCCATATTAGAGAGAGACACATACACACAAGTCACAAGATGAGTACTGTTTCTAAAATCTAAATCCTAGCAACTGTAGCTGCACATTTACTACTCCAAAGAAAATGGGTTGCTTTCCTCTCAACAACAAAGGTTTAAGAATACAAATTACAACTCTTACATGTTCATCACATTTCAGTATCTTGCTTTTCTTTTTCTTCTTTTTATTTTTTCCTTTGGTGGTGTTCTCTTCAGAATTTGCCCAACATTCAACACAACTATCACCATCATCCTCTTTGTCTTCACAATGATGAACACAGGAGTCATCACCTAAGCAATCAATAATCTCTTATTTTTGTGCTCTACAACAGCAATGTAAGAGAACTATTTGAAAAGTTTAATCTCAACCTACCATGTTCATCATGATTACAAATGCCTTCAGTGCACGCAACATCCGAACCCTCCCGAGAACCTGTTTCACTCCCTTCCATGCTAGATGAATATCCACAATCACTACCATTACAGTGTGGAGATAAGCCTGAAAATAAATCAGGAGGGAGTCAAAATTAACAGACCAGTAACTATAATGAACCAAAAGGGACTGCAGAAAAATTTCAAAATTGATTGTTTATTGAAAGAGAAAGTAAATTAAGTAATAATATAAATATATAATAAAAATATGATTAGGGATTTATAGTTTTTTTTTGGGTCAAATAACAGCAAATCACAAACCATAGTGAAAAATGAAATATTATCTCACTAAAGTATATGATGTTCTTGGGGCAACAAAGCCTCAAGAATTTAAAAGAAAGAACAGACTTAAGAGTTAATTTACACGTTTTTTTAAAAAGCCAATCGTGGGCCCTCCCTAGTGGCACATGGGGTTAAAGCACAGCACTAAGAAACAAGCCACTTCCCTGCCTGCCCCTGAGGTGACCACATGGTGTGGCAGACCCTCCCCACCCGCCTGCTGCTC